AAGAGGCAGGGAGGACGAGAAAATTAAAGACAATGAGAGTCAAATGGCCATGACATTTTCGTTAATTAGTTAACATTTAACAAGTTACATTGACAATATATACACTAATAGGAGTTCAGATATATTAAAATATAAAACATTAAATTTAAATTCAAATTGAGATTAGTTATCAAAACATTGGCACCGGTTGGTGTTTGTATGTGTACGGGTGTGGGTGCAATTGTGTATGCAGAAGATGTATATAGTTGGGCAAATATATGTACGCCTTCTCGGTAGTTCTTGTTCTTTTTTATTTTTTGGTTCTCTTCTTTTCATCTGCGTTTCAAAATGACTACTCCATACCCAAGAAAAGAAAAAAAAAAATAAGAAAAAGATCTTTGCCACAAACCAACTTTTGATATTCGATTGGTATGTTTTATGCCACTTGACAGCAATTTAAGATCTTTCTCACAAAATTATGGCAAAGGTGTGATAATATGTTTGTATTTGGCTCAATGTTCAAGCGAAAGCTTATGCAGAAAGTGATAACATGTATTTATTTCCGAGGATGTATCAAGTATATTATCCTCCCTTCCCTTTTTTTTTTTTTTTTACCGGAAACGATAACTGTAGTATATTTTAATCTATTTTATACTAGAGGGAGAGAGTGGACCTAAGGAAGTCCAGAGATAACTCGAAAGGGATTGGATCAAACGAATGTACTATACACCCGCCTAGATTTTTGAAGGAAATCCACCTTTTAATATAATCCTCCCTTCCGTTTTGGATCAATTTTGTTTAACACAATCATTGTAAAATTCGAATTTGCATTCTTATATGATTTGACATAGACCCAAGTTCGCTGCAGTTCCAATCCTCGGCCCCATTTTCCACGCGTTTTTGTCATGTGTCCCAATCTTTCACCTATCCCTTCCTACTTTTTGTTGCATGTCTCTCATTTTCAGTTCCACTTGTATAATAGCATTGCTAATTTGCTATTGAGGGGAACCAAAAAAAAAAATGAAAAGAAACTTTTTAATAGGGACTAAATCGACAGCGTATGCTTTTTAATGGGGATTAAATCAACAAGAAAAAAAGATAAAGCAAACCCATTATATGTTGATGCTGGGAATGAGTAGCATGGAAAAAAAATTACTTTCATGAAAACTTATTCTCATCTTTCATCATTTTAAATGGGTGAAGTGTGTTGATATCAAAGGAAAATTAAAGAACTATTGTTTTTAGTTTTCCAGAATGCATGATCCCATGGAAAAGAGTATATATTTCAATACAGTACATTACAACTATTGTTTCAATGATTGTGAGATTTACCTGATAATTGGGACACATGGCAAAAAGACCAGGTCGCAAATAATAGCCTTGAGTTTCTCCTTATTTTTTATCAAAAAATAGAAGATCCGAAAAAAATTCTATGCTCGGGATCATTGTACCTCAAACTCTTTTACGGACTAGGTGAAGAGACTTGTGTTTGTTAGTGGCGTACCAATTGTGGAGGGCAAGAAACTGGCCTATTTTTCAGCAAGGTTCAGTATCTGCCGTTAGCATAATTTCTGCTGTCCTTGATTCTGTGAAGGATGCAGTTGCAAGTTGGAGACGCACGCCTTTAACAAGGCAAAACTAGGACTTGGCTGTGGAGCTGAGGCTACCTCATGTGTGTTTCAATGGATGAGCATTCTGGCTGACTGATGATTTAGGTATAAATATTGGGATAATTTCAGAAACCTCCCCTGAGGTTTTTTGACAATTTCACTGAGCTCCCATGAAATTTGAAAAATTGCGCATACCTCCCTTGTCATTTAAAATGATAATACTACCCTTCAATATTTTAATGAATTTCCCTTATTTGATATGCTTATGCTTAGAATGACTTTAAAATTATTTTTTCATTCTTATTCCTTTTTATTTTAATTTTTTGCCAATAAAATTGTAAAATTACCACTATTATCTCTAGTTTCTATTGTAACTAAACGGCGAACTAATGAATTTTTTGATGAGTTAGCTTTATACGTAATCCGATGTTTTTTGTTAATCTTTCTTTTCTTTTTTCGGTATTAAAATTAACAATAAATTAAAAGGAAATGCCCAAAATCACTACTAAATTATGATAATCTCACCACTCAAAAAATTCATAAACTCTGAATCAATTATTTCAACATTTTATTTTCTATCTTATAAATAAAATACCATAAAAGTATCCTATCATGGTTATAAAATTATTATTATAGTTATTTATCAAATAGTAGGTACGGACATGAAAAATTTGATACATTTTCCTTATAATTACAAAAGTACGCCATATTATTAGACACAAAAGTTAATCGTCATTATCTTTATCTGCGAATGATAGACGACGACAAGTGATGGATTTGTTTGAGGACTCCTACTTTCATTCTGTGCTTCAATCCTAGAATTGGTCATTCTATATAGTATTTCTTTTACAACACGACCATCTCGATTTATAGTAAATTCAGAAAAAGAAAAAGTGCTCATCTATAGAAAGATTAACTAAATTGACATCTGGGTAGTTTTACACGAAATTGTAGCTCACCGGAAGCTGAGTTTCAAACAAATTAACTCAAGCCCATAAGTAGTAAGTAATATTCAGGCCTCGAACTCTCATCGGCCCGACGACTTCAATTGTTCATGATTTCCCACCTTAAAAATTGAAAGAATGGGTCATGAGAAGACATATTATTGTTTGCTCGTATTATTTACAGGCCAATCAATATAAACGTCTCTCTAGAGGCAACAAAACCTGGCGCAGATCGAAACCGATGTTGCAAAGTATTCAGCTTCGTCCTCCAATATTCAGGACGAAGGTGGATGGCAAACTAACAAGACTAGGGGTACACCAATATAACCTTACCAACTGCGCTCTCATTATTTGTAAAAGGGTCAATAAATAATGATGCATGGGATGGATAGAGTACGGTAGAGAACCCACGATTGTAGTCTGTCTAGGCTAAAGAATAGTACACAATCTTTCAATTTCCGGGTTCACATAATTATTGATAGTGGCTTTGGTCTTGTACTCGATTAATTTCTTGAAGGGATGGCGATGACCAGGGTTGGAAGAATGTAAAAGAAGCCGAAGACTATATATGGACGCGGTGACCATTTAAATGAGACTTCTTCTTTTGTGGATTCTATTTAATTGGGTACTGAAATTAGGATTTAAGCAGATGACCCTTGAGAACAAACTATAGGATCATCCGATGAGAAAGGAACTTTTTGCTTCCTGAGACTACTTCTTTTAATCTTTTTGTTCAGAAGTCCTTTGAATTTGAAAAAACGTGTTGAACCACGACTACGATGCAATAGACTATATAACGAGTAAAATATCGACACAATATACCAACTAGGAGTAAGTTGGTATAACGAGTAAAACACGCTATACCAACGAGTAAAAATGCTTAGACTTTGTATGACTTCTGGTCTTGAAGCAAGTTCTGTAGAAAATTCTTTAACGAACAAGATATAGGATTCGGATATATACCATATCGTTTGGAGAGTTAGGATCAATGCATCACGCCGTTGATCTCTTCTTAATATCCGCAAACTCCAAAATTAATACTTTTAACGGTGCATGCTAGATATTTGAAACTTCAATCCTGTTTGGATTTGAAAGCTTTGAGTAATTAATCTTATGTTAATTTGGGTGTGCTCAAAGATTCAAGTACGTACACAGTCCTGAAGCACAATAAAAAAATTTTAATCGGAGTAAGATTTGGACATACATCGTAGCTAGTGAAAGCTACCTAGTGATTGGAGTCTCTGAAATCAAAAGGATTAGGAATAATTGGAAAATGTTAAAAGTAGAAGAAATATTGATTTGTTCAAATTCTACATTGAGTACCGAACATTTCTAAAATACTACTATTTCCTTAAAAAATTACCAATTGTTGAAAAATGTCTGTCACATTTACTTTGTTATTTTTTTTTCCAATTTTTAATGTTAATCCACTTTATTATTTGACGTGTATATGTGCAATATCTCTCTGTTGTCAAGGCGCAGAAAATATTTATTTCCCTAAATTTTTTAAGGTGGCAAAGTTTCTACTGATTTCAGAAATATATGTTAATAACTACTGTATTCTGCTAAGTATCACACAGACTGGTGCAGAGTTGAACAAGTACATGTAATCAGTTGGTTGCAACAGAGACGAAGCAAAAAAACTGTCCGAAGCATGGTTTGATTAAAAAAAAAAAAAAAAAACTCAACATTTCTAAGAATCCTGGCCAAGAACTAATACTGCAAGAAGAAGAAAAACCAACGGTGATATATTAATTCATATCACGAAGGGGTTATATATAAGTTTTTAAACAATAGTGGGGGTTACGTGATAAAATATAAAATTACGGAAGGTAAAAGATAATTTATCCTAAAATGTGAATGGAAAAGACAAATTGTCACTATAATGACGCGACGATAAAGTTTCTTGAGCCGCAATATACCATGCATTTGTTGCCATCACAGTTTAGACTTGAGAGAATTCTTTGAAGAATATATTGTGTGCCCAGTAAATATATGATGGTAGTGGTCAACCCGCCAAAATGGAAAATTGGTGCTGTGCCCATCAAGTGCAATTTTTCCAACCCAACCTTGTGGCAGGAAATTAAGCAGTTGGGAGAGGGAAATTCCATTAGGGAACACGATGACAACCAATTCGCATTGGCAGGAGAGTAGCTCGATGTTTCTAATTTTGGGTTTCTCTTTTCAGGTAATCTTTGGCAGAATTTCACCGCTGACGTCAAAGGCCTTAAGGGTTGTCCAAGTTTATCCTTTCAATTCACATATTAATATTTTCGGGCAGTTGCATGTCGGTGTCAAAACGAAAATCAGTTGCACGTCCTTGTGCTTCAGAGTTAAGCCAAGTGAATTGCTAATGAATTTCCCAGCATGTCCACACACACACACACTAACTAGTACCATTGCATTAACCCATCCTTCTCTATAAATAGTACCAACCCATCCTTCGACACGAAAAACCACTGCTCATTTTGGTGTCATTGAACTTGGGGAGGCCTCTCTCTTGTCATTATCATTTCTATTAGCGTATTAAATCAAGCTCTGATTAACCCGTCTTTTTTTTCACAATTTTAGTTTTGTGTGTTGCATAGTATCCCTTTTCTAAAGATGGGCAATGATAAAACTGAGACATCAATTGTTTGTCTATCCGGCAAATATGTCGGTTTGAAGGCCATTAAAAGTGCCCCCGATGTAGATCGACGTATGGCCAATGCTAAGTTACTAGAGCACAATCCACTCCCCCAAATTAATGAAGTAAAGTTCTGCAGACATGAATTGCTGCGTGTTGCTGAACATTTGGGTTATGCTCCAGATTACTTCTTCACAGTAGATGGCAATCCAACTAACTTGAAGGTCTCGCAGGGCGATCTTATGGACTCTAAATTTGTTGCCGCCGTTGACAAAAACGAAGTAAAGGTGCATAAGTTGAAGGACGGTGATGTACCAAGGTTAGTCTTTAGTAATACTCTACATGGTTACTTATAATCTCGATCCCTCCGATGATAATAGCTCATATATATATATATATATATATATATATATATATATATAGATATATAATATGACCATATATATAGCTTAGTTCCCTTTCATTTTCCGTTGTTAATTTTGTACTTTTAGTTTAAAAAAATGCTGACAAAATTCTTAGCAATGGCGGCTTTGGTTTGGTATTTGATTTCTTGAAGGAATCGTAACGGCCTGGATTTGGAAAAAATAAGAGACGATGCTAATGGCGGTTGCTATGATTGGAAGATGTCGGGGACAGTATCTCGGTGAGCATTGACTAAATTTCTTCTTTGGCTTTCTCCTTTGTAAAATAGGTTGAAAGTACACAAATAACTTAAATTTACAGAAATCCATTTTTTTCAAATAAATAATGCATAATATCAAATATATATTTAAAGACAATCAAATCCGAAATCACGGGATGTTTATACATTTTAGTATGAGGAACCAATATGATAAGTGCGTAAAATATCGTACATTTTACGTTCACTTCTAATGTAACAAAACACGAAATTTGGGTCCATATCTAATAGCCAACATGTGTCTTCAATTATACGTTGTTGATCAGTAAAATATTAAGATTTTGGATAATATTATGTGCGATGTCAACTATATGTGTGTGTGTGTGTATACAGACACACACACGCGTAAATGATTTTAGTGTTCCTGAATTGGAAGTCTAACAACGATTTTGAGGCCATGGACTGTTGAGAACCAAAAAATCCATTTTTGACAATCGATGGCCCATCATTGACCCATTCAACGGTACCCGATGAAGCAATTAGTCTGCGCTAATGCTTGATTTAGAGTTATACATGCTAAAGTTGTTGGAAAATAAGCAGGTTCTAATCAATTTATAAAATTTTTGAATGCAAATGATTAATGGACATTACCAGGTTCAGAATGGTGGTATTCATTTTCCTTTTTTCTTTCAAATAACTTTTCTCTTATTTTCTTAACGAATATTTTTCTTTTAGTTTACAAAAAAAAAAAAAAGAAGACTTTTTGGATTCTCGCTAATAAAAATATATGTTCTATTATTGTCGTAAGATAGAGAATGCTGTGTTGATCTAAACAAGGCTCTGTTAATATTGCTTTAACACCACATAACAGTGGAAGAGTGGCTGAGCTGGAGAGACAGATTAAAGTTTGTTGGATCAAGTTTAAAGCCAATTATTATCTGTCACGATTCACACGCAAGGATGTGAAAATGATTATTAATACTTAAAGGATGATTTTTACCTTTTAATACTGTAGACACCAAATTTAATACTACAAACTGAGTGAAACATTTGATCCATGCATAGTCTATCTTCTGCAGACAGCATGCGTAATCCTTTTGACTTAAAAGGCGGAAAATTAATTGGGCGAGACGCTTTTGACTTCAGCTATTATTTGTTATTGTGTCTCGGCAGGCGTTAGTTAACCCTAATGGTAAACGTACGCCATACTTTTTTGAAGTATCTGATTCACTTGTGTATTATCTCCAACAGTCCACCCTCGAAGCTTCCTCATTCCTCTAGTTCAGACCGGAAGAGGCGCGGGAAATGAAGGGCCAAAATCTCTGTGAAGTTCCCTGCAGTCGTTTCTGGATGGATAAAAGAATGGTGGCGCAGAATCTTTGGCAAAAGTGGGCTAGTAAATTGTAGCAGTCATTTTATACATGTTTTTTTTTTTCATATTTCTAGTTGAACGATGTATTTCTAGTTTAAGGAGGTCGTATGTGTTATGAACCTCGCAAGTGATGTGGTGTTTTACGTTGTACCTGGTCTTATAATTCTTCATAAATTGGGCCGTTCAAACTTGTCAAGATGACATTACACCTTAATTTAATTGCTTCTTTTTTTTTTCTTTGATAACTAGAAAGTTTTAAACTCAAAACCTCCTACTTACAGTCCCTTCATCTTAACATCCAACTCAATCCGATTCATTTGCTCTTTGTTATTTGCTTCACATAATTTGTTTCTTCTGTAAATTGACTTTGTACGTTGTGCCTGATCTCATGATCCTACATAGTATATAAATTGAACCAATCATATGCATGCATGTTGGGATCATGACTTTAATCATGTTCTCGCCTTCAATTAATTCATTTGCTCTTATTATTTGCTTCGCATCGCTGTTGCTTGGTTGAGGTTTTTCTAGGATATCTTTTTAATTTTGGGATTAAAAAATTACACTTGTTTGGGATGGATGTCGGGACTAGGACGAAAGGAAAACAATGGCAAGTGCTAAGAAAGAGAGAGCTTTTATTGTTTATTTGTTGATGATTTTTTTTGGTATAAAAGAAGCAACTTTGGGAGATGGTTTAGCGGTTAATCCAGAGCCTACATATGCTTCTTGCCTTATAGAAGACCCCTTATGATTTTCATAATGTATATATAAGACCCCTGTAGTTAACAAATAATTTTCAACTTTATATAAGGATATTTTTTATATTTTAGTTGACTCCATTATGGATTACAAATCCCGTCACTTTAATATTTTAATTCAAATCATGAGAAAGTTAGGTTAAACTTTTGAAATCATAGAAAGGTTATGTAAAAGGTACTAAATCATAGGGGAGTAAAGTAACATTTGCCTTTTTTAAAACTTTTTTGTTAGTGTAAACTCGAATTCGAGACATGTTATTTACGCCTAATCCATCCCTTCCCAACCGCTCTACCATTTGATTGCAAACTTTGCTACCAAGGCATTCTCATACGAGGGAACCACTGCTTCTCACGGTCATTTGTGGTGTCATTCATTTTTGAGGCTTCTCTCTCTCAGTCATGTCAATCATCATGCATGTTAGCGTATTAAATCAAGCTCCAATAATTTGTCTTTCTTTCTTTTATTTTTTTTTGTGTGTGTATTATCACAATCATTCCCAAAGATCGATGAGTATTAATAATTAATCTCATATCCCACCCTAATGAGGGCATATAGAGGTGATGTCAATTGTATGTATCTCCGGCCAACTCTGTGGGTTCGAAAGTCGCCGCAACTGGCGAGGACCTAAAGGCTGAAACGACTTTTAGCCGAGGCTAAGCTACAAACAATATGGATGATGAGCGTCAGATGAACCAAGGTTTTGGTTTTAATACCGCTAGTTATATTGTGCCTCAAGACAATCGCGTGAGGTTGATAAAAAATTACTTGATACTTTGTGCCTCTATATCATGTAAACGATGAAAATCTAAACCTTTTAGAAGTAACAAGTAAAAAATGATGAATTTCAGTATGAGATACAAAAATATATTTAAAAATATATTTTGAAAAAATGTAAAAGGATCAAATGTAGACAAATCGATGCACACAAATAATAGCATAACCATTTACGACAAAAAAAAAAAATAATAGCATAACCAAGACAAGAGGGTTATAGAGTCCGAAAAGGATTAAACGGCACAAAATAAATGGAGGAATTACAATTTAACCGCGACGAATCAACTGTAGAGTGTAAGCCTTACCCTTACCCCGCTTTACGCAGTTTAGGATGTGATAGGATTCATGAACAGCATCCGTCAGAATATTGTACCTTTAACTTGATTGTGATTTATGTCATCAAGTCATTGTGTATACTTTGTCACATGCAGAAGTATAGTGAAGTGGAGTGACATAAAGATTTTTGCTTCTTAAGAACAAATCATTGATTGAATCATTAGCCATGGAAGGAGGAAGAGGAGGAGGAAAAGGCTGTTCTGTCTCAACCCAACTTGTATCATAATTGACGAACAATATTCATCAGAATATTGTAACCTTTAGCATGATTATGCCATTAAGTCATTAAGTGTATAGTCTGTCTGTCACCTGCAGAAGTATTAGTGAAGTATAGTGAGTGACATAAAGATAGTGTTCTATGTTTACTGGTCATGCCACCTTTTCTGAAAGAGAAACGCGAAAGGGGACGAATTACTTCTATGTTCTGCTTGGTCATGTTGGTTCTATTTCAAGTCATTTTGCTGTTTTGTTCGTGGAAGATTCTTTGTTACAACTCTGGCTCTCCTCAGAGTTGCAACATCAAGAATTGCTTTGAGCTGTGCAATGACGCTGGAAGATGCATCTTAATCTGTCTAAGTACTTCTTGAGTAAGTGCCGAAGTTCGATCGAGAGCTTTGCTGAATCTGATTGAACCTGATCAAAGTTTGTTTCATTCAATAGAGGTACTCATCCTTGATTAATTTTTTCGTTCTGGGACTTGGTCTTTCTCCAAAGTGTACCCATAAAACACAAATTAAGTACCTGCATCAAGGTTTTTTAATTTGAAGCCACCTAATAACTGCATGCTAGTCCGTGTGTTCCTTTTATTTTATGTTATGTTTTAATTTCAAGGTTTTTATAAGCAGAGGAGGAGTAAAAAGGAAGAGGCAGGGAGGCCAAGCAAATTAAAGACAACGAGAGTCAAATGACAACGAAGTTACATAGTTTTTAAAAGCTCAAATATTTTCATTAATTAGTTAATATTTAACGAGCTTTATATTGACAGTATATACTTTAATAGAAGCGCGTACATATTAAATATATAAAACATTAAATTTAAATTCAAATCAAGATTAGTTATCAAACATTCGCGTCATGTGTGCAGGTAAATTACAACAATCCGGTTGGTGTTTGTATGTGTACGGGTGTGGGTGCAATTGTGTATGCAGAAGATGTATATAGTTGGGCAAATATATGTACGACTTCTTGGTAGTTCTTGTTCTTTTTTATTTTTTGGTTCTCTTCTTTTCATCTGCGTTTCAAAATGACTACTCCATACCTAAGAAAAGAAAAAAAAAATAAGAAAAAGATCTTTGCCACAAACCAACTTTTGATATTCTATTGGTAAGTTTTATGCCACTTGACAGCAATTTAAGATCTTTCTCACAAAATTATGGCAAAACTATGATAATATGTTTGTATTTGGCTCAATGTTCAAGCGAAAGCTTATGCAGAAGTGATAACATGTATTTATTTCCGAGGATGTATCAAGTATATAATCCTCCCTTCCCTTTTTTTTTTTTTTTTTTTATCGGAAACGATAACTGTAGTATATCTTAATCTATCCTATACTAGGGAGAGAGAGTGGACCTAAGAAGATTTAGAGGTAACTCGAAAAGAACTGGATCAAACGAATATACTATACACTTGCCTAGATTTTTGAAGCAAATCCACCTTTTAATATAATCCTCCCTTCCGTTTTGGATCAATTTTGTTTAACACAATCATTGTAAAATTAGAATTTGCATTCTTATATGATTTGACATATACCCAAGTTCGCTGCAGTTCCAATCCTCGGCCCCCTTTCCCATGTGTTTTTGTCATGTGTCCCAATCTTTCACCTATCCCTTCCTACTTTTTGTTGCATGTCTCTCATTTTCAGTTCCACTTGTATGATAGCATTGCTATCGAGGGGAACAAAAAAAATGAAAAGAAACTTTTTAATGGGAATTGAATCAACGGCGTATGCTTTTTAATGGAGATTAAATCAACAAGAAAAAAGGATAATGCAAACCCATTATATGTGGATACCGGGAATGAGTAGCATGGAAAAAAAATTACTTTCATGAAAACTTATTCTCATCTTTTATCATTTTAAACGGGTGAAGTGTGTTGATATCAAAGGAAAATTAAAGAACTATTGTTTTTAGTTTTTCAGAATCATGATCCCATGGAAAAGAGTATATCTTTCAATATAGTATCTTGCAACTATTTTTTATTTTGTAATCCGGAACATGCCTCTCGACTTGAACCCTTAAGATCCAAGTCGGCATATCAAATCGGAGGAGTGCGCCACGGCCCCACGCAACTATCCCGGACGAGTTAAAGGGATTCAAGTTTAGGATAAGATTCGAATCCAAAATCACAAGGGTTTTTAAGAATTCTTTTTTTTTTTAATTGAAATTTTATTATTTTATAAAAATTTCGGCAGAGTTTCCCCTTAAAAAAGGACGAAACTCCCTGCCATCAAACCACAATTTGACAATAAATTTACAAGCTAGTGAAAGTTTAAGCATTTAAAAACTGAAATTAAGATTAAATCTTCATTTTTCCATATCAGGATGTCTTCCAGTGAATCTGAAGGATGATCTTTGAAGATTTTAGCAGTCAATCTTCCTCCCTTGATGTCCTTCTAACCGCCATTTTCACCTTCATTGGCCTTTTCTGCTTCTTATTCCAATTCATGCCAGACACCGTGTACGAAACGTAGGAAATCCTAATCGATCTAATCTAATAGCCCCCCTAACCAATTGCGGCAATTCTGAGAATGTATTAAACACATGACCTGTACTAGAATCAGCACCAAAATTTGCCAAACGATCTGCAGGTGCGTTTGCTTCCCTGTAGCAGTGTGTGATCGATGTGAAATATTGCTTGAACATCATCAACTCATCCAGATCTCTCTGTAAACGCCAAGGACAAGCACTAGTCCCTTGAACAATGTGAACCAGGGTGAGAGAATCCGCCTCTAAGTGTAACTCCAAGCACCCTCGAATCACACAATGTCTAACGCCCCATAGCAACGCTCGAAGTTCCGCCTGCATGCTGGTTATCACCCCGAAGGGCTCCGCGTAGCCGAATACAAAATTTCCTCGACTATCCCGCACAAGCCCACCCCCCCCACTCCTTCCTGGGTTCCCCCGAGAACATCCATCTGAATTCAACTTATAGCCTCTACGTGGAGTTACCCAGTAAACTGGCCTAATAACCATCCGCCTTTGATGACTACCTAATTCGAGAAGCAACCCTTCCCATGTAGGGGCAGAAGGCTGCACCCCCGGG